CTAAGTAAATACCAGGAAGTTTATTGCTGTAGAAATCAGTGCAGTGAAGCCTCTGAATTTCGTGCAGAAGTTTAACCAGGTGTTCCCTTTCCTCAGCTGTGGGAGAGGTAAATTGATTAACATTGTTCTATTAGTTTGCCACTGGGAAAACTAAAGGATAACTGGACTGTTTGGAGTTAGCATATAATCATAAAGCAAGTATAGAGTAACCTAGATCCTCATTTTATATTCTTTTTATGTAAGATACTTGTTTAGAAGCCAAGCCTTTGGGTGGGAGGCATGGTGGCAGAATTGAAAACTTCCCTTTTACATTGAATCAATCGCTGAGTCATATTAATGCTTCATTTAATCCTTACTTTGCAATATCTCTTTTCTCATAATGACCACTGGAGTTCAAGACATTACAACTCATTCTTGAATCATTTCCAGATTAGTCTTCCTAGAGTGCCATTTTAACGTGTTCTCCTGTTCAAAGGCTTTCAGTGGCTCTTTAGTATCTAAAAAGCAAAATAAACTTTCCTTAAAATGTAGCCCTTGGTTTCTAATCTTTCAGAATATCTTTACCCAAAGGCTATGCTGAAGCAAATAGTTATAGCTTCCCAAATATGAACAGCTCTTTGGTGCCTCTGTGTTTTTGTTTTTGTGAGTCCTTCTGATTGGAATTCTCTCCCAACATTCTCTCTCTGCTGAATTTCCTACCCTCATTTTAAGGCCCAGATTGAATATATATCTTTTGTGATGTCTTCCCTGATAATCCTGACAGAAAATGCTTTCTCTTATGTCCACATTCATTAGTACTTTAGTTATGCAATTTTATGGTATTTATCACATACTGCCTTATATTAGAAATGTGTGCATATCTCAGCTCCCTGTACTTGAAAGAGTCCTTGAACACAAAGGTAGTATTTATATAAGTTTGTATTTTCCATAGCGTCCAGCGTACAGTAAAAATAGTAACTATTCATTATATACTTGATTTATGTAATGAATAAATTATATATTAATATAACTGTTTTTATCCCCAGTATTTTCTTTGAAACCTTGCATTATATTATTCTCCTTAGTTCCGAGAGTTAATCTCATCAAACATTGAAAAAATATTTTGCTAAAGTAAATTATATCATCTAATCTTTGATTTCTTGTAGACTCTTTCCAGATTCCAAAGATCCCTGTGACATTTTGTCACTGAAAAAAGATATGAGGTGATAGGGCAAATTTATTCAAAGCTAACCTTACAGGTGAATGCCACCACACTAAGTGGCCGTCTTGGCTAAGGAAGGTTAGGCATCAGTGTAAAATTACTTACAATAGTAATATCTATCATTTATTGAGTTCTGTGTGTCAGGCACTGTGCTAGCCACTTTATATGTACTATTTCACTTGGATCTCCCATCACGTTGTAAGTTAGAAATTTTCCCTGCTTTGTAGATGATGAAGCAGAGACTTGGCGGCATTATGTGTTGCAGAGGTACAGAGCTAGATATTGGTGGAGCTGGGATTTGAACATTGATTTCTCTGATTTCAACCCAGGAGTACTCTTCATTATGCTACATTTTTTTCTCTGGATGTAGATCAGTTATTGATGCTATAGAGAATTATGTTCATATTCAGTGCTTTTTATAAGAGAAAAATTAGGAAATTAGTCAATAGTACATAAACTAATTAATATCTCTATGAGTTATAAAATATTCCAGTAGGAATAGGCATTGAAGGGATTTTCCAAGTTTAATTAAGTACTATATATTTAGTTTTCTGTTTTTTAATATTTATTTATAATTCTCTTGCTTTTGTCAAGAAAGGAAATAAAAAGCCAGAAGATTGTGGCCATTAAAGTTGAACCTGTTGGTACATATTTCTAACATTCTTAGGATGTTAAAGCTGGCTAGTAAGGCTGAAGTTCCCTATAACTCTCTCAGGTTATTAAGATCTGGATAGGTAAAATTATTTTCTGAAAGGTTCGTGGCTACTAAGTGGCAGATTTAAGCCTAGAACTCAAGTTACCTATGTCCTGAGCAATGCAGTGCTGATTACAGCTGTACATCAACTCTTAAGTTATGTTTTTTTCCTTCTCTTTCCTTATTCCTGAAATTCCTCACTTCTTCCATGTGAAAATCCCATATTACATGTCCAGGATATTTGGAAAGACTGGGAAAAAGGAAAGGAAACAAATACCAGTTTTTTCTCAGAAGATTTATGTATCTCAGATTGCATAGGAAAGAAGAGTTTGGGTTAGGAAAATTGACTATACTCCCTACCAAGGTGGGAAAACCTATTTTTTTTAGCTTTAATAACTAGCCCCTCCACTAGAAATGGAAAAAAAAAGGAAGTTCTCAACTAATGAATGAGCTTCAGAGAGTATTTTGATTATCCTGTATTGTTAATGTGAGTAAAAAAATTACATAAGTGAACATCTATTTTTTTTTTTTTTTACTTCTCTGCTATGCACAAGCTAGGCAAATATTTTTTTCCATGAATGTATTTGCTTCATGTTTTTATTAATGGTATTTTCAACTGGAATTTTTTTCCCTATGGATGAATATTAAATGAGGAAAGATTCTTACTTGTTTTTCTTTGACTTTCATATAGGAATAAAAATCTATATAGCTATACTAAGTAAAATTTTTTTTTTTTAAATGGCACCTCCAACTGTACCTTGTGATCTGAAATCCACCAAATGGCTATTTTGTTAAAATTACTGGGTCTATCCCCAACTTTGTTCACATCCCCAGATTACATGAATAGGTGTAGACTATCTACTCATCATGTTTATATTCGTTAAACAAATATATGTTGAGTGTCTACTATGTATTAGGCAGTACATTAGATATTAGAGATATACAGATGAAAATATGTGTACTAGCATAAGAGAAGGAGCACTTTATTGGGTCAGGGTAGACTTAACCAAGGAAACAACACTGAATTTAGGCTTAAAAAATGAATAGAAGATTGCTAAGTGAATGAATGGGGAGGAGATTTCAAGCAGAGAAATATTGAGATTTGGAAAATACTGGAGTGTGTGTGTGGGGAACTGAGGTTGGATGGGCAGTGCACATAGTCTGTGAGGGAGGACCATGCATTCCATTCTGGAATGTATTCATTCATAAAACATTTTTTAAGTATTTATAACATGCCAGTCCCTGTGTCATATGTCAGAAGTATTGTGATGAACAAGATAAAACTAATCCTTGCCCAAATACACCACTATTATGATCTGCAAAAGAATTCACATATGGAAAAGACCATTATTATGTTGTGTGGTGACTCTTCAGTTTAAAAATGTACAGAGTGTAATTGGAGCACACAGGAAGGGCATTGATTTACATTTAGTAGGTCAGGGAGAGAGGAAACAATAGCTAAAATGACATCTGAAAGATTAGTAGTACTAGTCAGGCAAATAGTAAAATATTGCATTCAAGTGGAGTGGCCTAGGTAGGAAAGCAGCTTGTGTAAAGGCTCAAAGGTAAAAGAGAGCATAAACTTAAGCATATACTGGAATGTGGGTAGCAGGGATGTGGTAAGGGATGAAGTTGAAGAGGTAAACAGCAGTCAGCCCATGACAGATCTTGTAGGTCACATTACTGAGTTTGGACTTTATACTAAAAATAATGGTGAGACATTAAAAAGTTTTAAATAGAAGCATTTATTACCCTATCAGGTTTGCATTTTAGAAGTGTTATTCTAGCTATAATATGAAATATGTTAAAAGAGGAGGAAGACTGGAGTCAGAGAGACCGGAAAAGAGATCTTTGTGTCTTGAACCAGGAAAGAGGTGCAGGAGATGAAATGAAGTAAATTAGTTAATAGAATGTAATTTTAAATTTACTTTTTGATTTTACCTGTTGGAGGGGAGACTAGAGTTAAGGATGACTCCTAGTTTTCTGGCCTGAGCAACTGAATAAATGTTGTGATAAGGAATGGTGAGAGAGAAACTGTGACAGGAAGTGCCAGAGAAACAGAGTAGAGAAGAATACAATTGATTCACTTTTGGGCACATTTATTTCGAGGTTCTGGTGTAGATAAGTGGAGATGTGGCCACTGGAATTATGTGTCTGAGTCTTATGAGAGGGATCTAGGCTGGATGTGATTTAAAACTAATCAATGCATGTGTGGAGTAGATGAGATTGCCTGATAATATGTAGAATTTGGAAAGTTTGTAAACTCTAAAGCACATACAAATGTTAATTTTTACTAGTAATTTATTAAAATATTCTATATTAGTGAAGATGTACACTTAGGACTTCAAAATGGTACCTTTTTCTTTTTCAAAAATCAGTTGTACGTTGAGTCCCTAATTATCAAAGGCATATAAATATGCAGTGCAGTATTCTCATTTGTCAATTATATCAGCAGTCCCCAAACTTTTTGGCACCTGGGACCAGTTTCATGGAAGACAAATTTTCCACCATAGGTGGATGGAGGAGGTGGGGAGGCAGAGCTCAGGTGGTGATGCGGGCAATGGGGAGTGGCCATAAATATAGATGAAGCTTCACTCCCTTGCCTGCTGCTCATCTCATGCTGTGCGGCCCCGTTCCTAAGCTTTGTGGAAGATAATTTTTCCACATGGGAAGTGGACCTCACACAGTAACACACCACCCAGTTCCTAAACAGGGTATATACTGGTACTGGGCCCTGGCCCAGGGGTTGAGGACTATAGATCTATATGACTAGTAATCAGCAGTGCAGATGTTTAATTATAATTTATATAATTTATACTGAGAGCATATGAATAATATTATTAGTTATCTTTATTATCATCAAATAAATGATTTATAATTGATATAATTCCTAGGTAATGTGGATTTTTTTTATTACAGCTTTTGATTGGCTTTGAATCTGGAACAGTAGTCTTATGGGACCTCAAATCAAAGAAAGCTGACTACAGATACACATATGATGAGGTAATGACATTATCTTTGCTAATAAAAGCTATTGCGATTTCTCTAATTCAAAGTAGCTTCTCTAAGAATGTAATTGGTAATTTATTTTATGCGACCTTTGTAATTGCAATAATGTACAACTTATTTTTTTTACAATAGATAATATGTTCACATAGTTTAAAAGATAAAAAAATCTCCTTCCCACTCAACATTTGGTCATCCTGTTCCCTTAAAGGTACCATGTTACAAGTTTCTTTTATGTTCTTCCAGAGAGATTCTGTGAATTTACAAGCAGATTCATAAATATATTCTATTTATTCTTTTATACCAATGATATTATACTGTAAACATTCATAGTTTGTGAGCTTTAAGATCCAAATAAGGATTGATGATGATTGATTGATAAATCTTTTAATTCTCTTTTAATCTGTAGGTCTCCCCTTTTCTTCTTCACTCTCCTTTCTTAGCTTTCTCATTCTTTTTTGTCACTAATTTGTTCAAGATAGAATCTCCCAAATGCTGAATTTTTCTGACCGCATCCTCATTGTCTTTAACATCTTTTTTTTTTCTTTGCCTTTAGATGTCCTATAAATTGAATATTTCACTGAGGTTTGATCAAATTCACATTCATTTTTCATTGTTAGCAAGACTACTTCACAGGTGATGCTGATGCTCTTCTATCTGATGGAACCTTCATGTGTGTGTCTATTTCTAGTATTGGCAGCCAGTGGTGCTCAAGGCCTAGATCTGTTATTGTGTAGTGGTTACAAAATGTGGTGTATTCTAATTCTATCATTTCTTCTTTATTTATTAGCTAGGACACTTTAGTAAAAAGAAACTACTACTTCTATTTGTTTATACAGTGGTACAGTTCATATAACAAAGGCAGAATAGATGCTTGATTCTCTTTATTTTAGTATTCACTCTAAGGAGTTGTTTTCTAGTAGTTTCAGTGGTAAACAATTCTTACTTTTGGTTTCATTGTGTTCTCAAATGATTTAAGCATATTTCATGTGCTTCAGTGCATCGAAGTTCTTATCCTTATTGCCTTTCCAGTTATCCCATCTTTGGTCAGTGAACCTCCTCCAGTTGGCTCTTGAGACCTTTGGTGATAACTGTAATTGTCTTGGATAGCTGCCTTGCTATCTGGTATAACAAAATATATGTCTTGTATATTTATGGTCCAAACTTAGAGTAAGATATTTTTCTGTGAAACTATGGCTTCTTTCAGTGTGAAATGGTATCTAGTGACGATAATTGGGGTACCAGAAGTGTTCATGGTTTCCAATTCAGTGACTAGACCTATAGCTAGAAAATGTATAAGTGATTTTTCTTGTTTGTTTTTAAGATAAAATACATCATGTCTTCATATTTATATATTCAGTTACAGCAGAGTACATTGAGTAATTATAGCAGTACTTTGAATACTTTTCAAATATTTGTATATTGTCTTTGTAAGCATGACTGAGGGAACATCCTTTGTTTTTTAATAGCTGTATACTTTTTGATGCTCACCAGTCATGATCTTCAAATTGAAAAACAGCAAACAAACATGTTTTGAATACAGAATTTCTGTCTTTTTTCTGGAAGTTTTGGCCTGTAGATCTATTTTCTATGTTAAAATGAAAGCAAATTTTAAAAATTGATTTTTTTGGTTTTGCTTTTCATAATTTTAAATAGTGATCTTGGCTTGAGCCATTATGAAGTCACGGGAACTCCATGTACCTTCTCACTTTAAACAAAGAAACTGGACAGATTATATGAAACAACAGTTTTTAGCAGTTTGACAGCAGGTAGTAAGTACAGAACAGGATTCCTTAGAGAGGGGAAACAAACAAGGTGAGCTCTTCGATCACTTTAGCTATTGGCTTGGAAAGATTTTCTAGGTCTCAGTACATGAAGGGGGAACCTAGGTAGAAGCCAGGCAGTCTCTCTCACTTGAAGAGACATAATTGGGAAATTGGGGAAGCCAAGGCATCTGCAGCTTATAAGGCAATGTGCTAGAGAGCAGAGAGCTGCCTACAAGGAGAGTTTGAGATGACTACAGAAGGCCCCCTGCCCCAAGTCTTCATTTGAGTACAGATTAGTGCATGGGTGCAAAGCTTGGAAAAGATCCACTGAACAGGAGAACCATTTCTGTAACACACACAGGACTGAGAACAGTTCACATTTTGAAAAGAGTAGAGAAACTTTATAATGCACATAATAGAAAGAAGAGTATTCGGAAAGATACTGCCTCAGTAGTGGAACTAAAGTAGCCCTACACTAAAGGCTAACCTAGTCCAGACTGACAAAGCTTAAAGCAAACTTTGAAAGGACCAAACTATTTCTAAGTACATAAACTATATCCCAGAAAAAATATACAAAAACATTAAAAAGAATATAATAATACTCCCATATAAATTTCACAATGTCTATTATCCAAATATAAATTTATGAGGTATACAAAAAGCCAGAAAATACAACCTATAATGAGAAGAAAATGCAAATAGAAACAGACTCAGAAATGGCAAAGATGATAGAATTAGTATCAAGGATATTAAAGCAAATAATTTTAAATATACTCTATATGCTCAAGAAGGTAGATTAAACCATGAACGTGTTGATGAAAGATGTGAAAGACTTAAAAACCACACAAGTAGAATTTCTAGAGATGAAAAATAAAATGTCTAAGATGAAAAATTCTCTGAATGGGATTACCAAAGGATTTGATACTGAAGAAGAAAAGATTAAGGAATTTGAGGACATAACATTATAAGCTACTTAATATGAAAGACTGGGGAAACAACAGAATATCAGTAAGCTGTGGTACAACTTCATGGAGACTGATATTTGTACTTTGAATCCTATTAATAGAATGACAGGGGTGGACAGAAAATATATTCAAGAAATCATGACTAAGAGTTTTCCATTTTTATGAAAAGTATATTAGTAAACCAGAGATTCTAGAAGTTCAATCAATGAACTCTGGGCAGAAGAACATGAAGAAAACTACACAAAAGCACAGTTTTCACTTGCTAAAAACTAGTGATAGAGGACATCTTATGAAAAACCAGAGGAACAAAAAAACACATTAAATACAGAGGAGCAAAGAAAAATGATAGCAGATTTTATTTTCATAGTAGAAACAATATAAGCCAGAACAAAGTCGAACAAAACCTTATAATAACTGAAAGAAATAAATTTGTCAACCTAAAACTTTATACCCAGCGAATGTATCTTTTCAAAAACAAAAGCAAAATAAAGACTTTAAGGATATTAAAAACTGAAAGAATTTATTACTTGCTTCACTACAATGTATATTAAAAGAAGTCCTTCATGCAGAAGGCAAATGATATGAGATGGAAATTTGGATCTTTTCAAAGAAATGAAAGACACCAGCAATGACAAATATGTTGTAGATGTAAAAGCCTTCTTATTTTTATATCGCTTTAAGAGATCAGTAAGTATTCAAACGAAATATAAAAATGCGTTGTAGGTTTTATGACATACGGACATCAATCGCACAAAAGTTCGAAGACAGAATACTCTTGTTAGATTATTATACTGTATGTGAAGTAGTGTAATATTATGTGAAGGTAGGCTATGATAACATAAAGATGTGTATTGCAGATCCTGAAGGAAACACCAAAACAACAACAGCAACCCAAAAAATTAAGCCAAAAAGGAAATAAAATGAAATTTACAAAGTATCAATCCAAATGAATGCAGGAAGAGGAGGAAAAGGGAAAGAAAGAACAGATGGGTGAAATAGTGAACAAATGGCAAGATGATAGAATTAAATCCAACTGTATCAATAATCATATTAATGGTTTAAATATGCTGATTAAAAGGTAGAGATTATCATATTGCATAAAAGAGCGAAGTGTAAATATATACTATCTATAAGACACCCACTTTTAAAAACAGATGTGTTAGAAAAAAGGATAGATGGAAAAAATAATATTAGCAGTAATCAAAAGAAAGCTGAAATGACTTTATTAATATCAAAGCAGATAGCAGAGTGCTTCCCCCTCAACAACAGAATATACATTTTTTGAAGTATACACGGAACATCACCAAGACAGATCATATTTAGTGCCATAAAATCAATCTCAATAAATTTTATAAGATTAAACCCATACAAAATATATTCTTTCACTATAGTATAATTAAATTAGAAATCAGTTATAAAAAGGTGTAGATGGAAAAATATTCAAATATTTGAAAGTGAGGCAACATACTTCTGAATAACCCATGGGTCAAAGAAGGAAACACAATGAAAATTAGAAAATATTTTGAACTGAAAAAATAAAAAGACATACCAAGTCTTGGGGGATGCAGCTAAAGTATCCACTGTAGCATCAAATGCTTTGTATTAGAAAAGAAGAACAGTCTAAAATCAGTGTCCCCAGCTTCCTCCACAAGAAACTAGAAAAAGAGCAGATTAAATCCAGAGCAAGCTGAAGAACTGAAATAAGCAATAGAGAAAACTGATAAAATTAAAGCTAGATTTTTTTGTGAAGGTGAGTAAGATTGGTAAACATGTGGTCAGAGTGATGAGAAAAAAAGACACGAATTACCCATTCTAGGCATGAGAAAGAAGATATGTTATTTCAATTTCTACAGAAATACAAAGGGACTGATAAGAAAAAATGTACAACTTACTGCCAGTAAGTTCAGCAACTTAGATGAAATGAACAATTTCCTTGAAAGATGCCAACTTTCTTGAAAGAACCAAAGCTTACGCTAGAAGAAATGCTTAACCTAAGTAGTTCTGTAATTACTAAAGAAATTGAATTTGTAATGGAAGTATTTCCCATCAAGAAAACTCCAGACTCAGAAGGCTTACTGGTGCATCTTACCAAATAATCTTGTACTCAGACTCTTCCAAAAACAGCAGAGGAGAGCACATTTCCTAACTCGTTTTATGAAGCTAGTGTTACCCTGATACCAAAACCAGAAGAAAATTGTAAGAAAACTGTGGACAAGTATCCTTTATGAACAGAGATGCTAAAGTCATAAAAATTATTATTAACAAATATTAATATACATAATGACTAAGTCATGTGTTTTAAATAACAGTACTGTGGGTGTAAAATATAGCTTCTAAATTGACTTGTTCTAAAGTAAACTGAGTAAAAATTTCTGGCTGTATTTCCATGAGTTCATGCTATTCTATCATTGTTCTTGGGTCATGTTAAAATGTATGTTTGATTCTCAGTACAGTTTTTGCCAGGTGTACAATTTTAGACATTCATGAAATTATTATAGGTATAATTCTCCCTCACTAGTGAGGGTTAAAAATTTAAGGCTCTAATAAAATACTACCCCCCAATATTTATGTTCTGTTCAATGGTCCATCACTCTAGACATACTCATTTTTTT